AAAAAAATAGATTATAACTAAATTTATGCTATTTTTAAGCTAAAATTGTTACACAAACTCTACAGCTTAAGGGATAGCATAAATTTTCATAATTATTATCCCTACGTAATACTCCAAACTAATCGTAAGTTTTTCGTAAGTTTATGCTTACGTAAAAACTTACGGAGTTTTATGTATATTTTTTTTTGCTGATGTAGTCTACATCTTGGGATTTATATTAATTTGTGAATTTTTTTTTTTTCAAAACCTAATTATGAAGTCTCTTGCTTGTTTGTTTGAGTCGAAGCTTTGCCATATTTTCTCAAAGTTTTTTTTTATGATCAGACCTCTTATTCACCTTTCTCTTCTCCAAAACTCTTTAACTAGGATTTCTTCTTTCTTCTTGTACAAGCCTTATGTTTTTTCTATTTTTATAAGGGTTGACTCTACTTTTTGTTCTTCTATACCTTGTATTAAATTTAATGAAACTCCACAACTTACTAAGTGCTCTATATTCTCTGTCTTCTTTTTGTATACAATGCATTTATTAGTTTTGTATATCTCTAGTTTTCTATAATTAAGCTTCTCAAATACTGGTAAGATATTTTTATACACTTTAACTTAAAAAGTTGTATTGCATTTGACTTATATATATATATATATATATTTGGTATTAAAATAACCTCTTTAGTCTAGGAAACTTTTTATTAGAGTATAGACGGAGTTTTATATATAATTACAATGATGGTACATCAAGCCACATGTGCACTTTTTGAGTGCCTATTTAAGTAGTCCACCTGAAGGTTCTACACTATCTGCTATATCTGCACCTCAACTAAAAGAGTATCTATTTAAACTATCTGGTCCTAACTACCTCTATCTGCCCCTAACTTGGTGGGTTTACCTCATCATTTATACACTGGATTTTGGATATCACCCAATCTAGATTTCGCTCTTTATCTTAGGACACTTAACTATTCTCGAGGTAAACCTAACATAGCAGTACATGTCTCACACATGTATTCACATACTTGTTTCTATAACTTCTTCCTAATTAGTATATAAGTAGCACACCTTTGGGGCTTCTTTCCAATCAGTTGTAACTTTTTGATCCCAAATATGTATAAACCTGGATATTCTCATTATCAGATCTGGATCATCAGTTGTTTCAAAAATCACCACCCATTGGTCTGTAAGCACTGATGTCTCTTTATACACCAATAGTTTAATAAAGAAAATATTGCCAATATTTTTAAAGGCTTCTTCGATTTGCTTTAAAATAAAATCCTTTTTGCCTATAGGTATATTTCGAAGCCGCACTGATAAAAAACTTCATCTAATATTTACTGGAATATATCTCTGGAGAGTTTGTTTAAAAATTACAAGGCCTTCTGCTACATAAAACTGCTGCTTCTCTTTATTTGTAAAAATAACCTCCAAATGGGTTCATCGGTTTCTTGTAAAGATTGGTTTGGCTACAATAAGGTCTTTACCGACTACAGTTGTCATTGCTTCTACAATATCAGAAGTAGAAATATTTTCCAAGTTGTGTAGCTCAAAGATTAGTGTGTTCTCGTTTTTAGTATAAATTCTCTTCCTTGGAGAGTAGGTTGAGAAAGTTGCTTTGCCTCGTTTGAGCTTAGAAAAGACTTGACTATTGTTTGGGTTCTGTCTGTTTATTGGCTTCATTTAATTGGTTGCTTATGTATTTGTCCACATGTTTGTTGTTGTTGACTTTATTGGGCACATATGTTGTTTATTTTGCTAAGTCTTGAAATATATCACTTGTTTGAATAAACTAGCTGTTTTTTTTTTCTGCCACTTTGGTTTTCTCAACTGTTTCTTTTTTGTTTTCTGCTGTATTTTCTTGCATACTACTACTGCTTGCAATGTTAACTGTGTTGTCTGAGTTCTGGCCTACTGTTTGGAGCAACTCTTTATTTTCTGCATCTTTATAGCTTGTTTCCCAAATTTCGGCTAAATTTTCTTCTTCTTCAGTAGCTGAAGTTCTTGCCTTTTTATTTTTCCTGTTAAACCCTGGGTTATCTATGCTGGATGTTTTCATACTATCTTGCTTACATTTCTTGTATGTAAGGACCCAGCCCCTGAAGTATCTTGTTGTTTTTGTATAAAAAGTGGCAAGTTTTGTATAGTAATTTTGTTTTTACCAAATTTCTGGAAGAGAACTGGAAAGAGTTTTTTGTTTTTTTCCCGAACTTAACTTAATAAATGGACTCTAAATATTTTTTTATATAAAAATAATCTCTACTTGTATATTATGTTGAGGTGTTAACTAAATAATAGTTTTAAAATGATTTTAGAACAATTTTAAAATTTTTACACTAAAGACCTATGAGTCAATAGTATAGTGATTAGCACTCCTAGGTCTCAAAACATAAGGTTGCGAGTTCGAAACCCACAGGGGAAATCAATCTCTGCCAGAACCACATTTGGTTATAAGATTGCGGGACATAGCTACAGAAATGTTACACAACTTCCAAAAAAGGATAGGAATCCGACAAAAGAAAGTCATTAACATAAGGAACCCCCGATAAAGATAAGGCATATGATATCTACCAAAAAGGAAAAAAGAGTATAGAGGAACCACTTAAAATACCCTTGCTCAAACCTGAAACAGAAAGAAGACTGAAACTTCAAGTAGGATTGACCACATAAGAACACTTCTGGTGACATGACAGTAGGCCTGGTCACCCGAACCCGTAAAACTCAGGAGCAAGTAAGATAAGGAAATATGAACGGAAAAAGCACCTGGTGACATGAAAGTAGGCCTGGGAAACTGAACCTGTAAACACAGAAGCTGACACCAATAACACCACCAGATGGGTAAAGTAGTTCACAAGCAGGTAATATGGAAACAAAGTATGGAATAGAGTAGTACATATAGCTGTATATAGACAAAATTACAATATAATACAATATAAATAGTTTTAATAAAAGATGCCACTAGTGTTCTGTTGCTAATATGCACAGAAAAATTTAAAAAAAAAATTTTTATATTAAAAATTTATTGTAAATAATCTTATAATTATTAAAAAATTTATTAATATCTTTAAGATTATCTTAAGTCCATTAAAAAAAATAACTAGTTTCTGTAAAGAAAAGTTATTTCTCTAAGCAACAATAGAGATAGAGAAAACTTCTTTGAAAGATGGGCTCCTCAAGTTAATGATGATAAAATTAACATCTTAGCAGAAGACTTCAATACTAATCTGGACCCAGTACCAAATCGAAGAAGCCAAGCCACAGCCAAATATAATGTTACAAGAACTCAACTTAAGAGACTAACAGATAACTTTATCAACTCCACTATTATTAAAAATAAAAAACTATTTCTCACATTCTTTCAAAATACATGAAATAACCAAACAATGGCTACACATTTAGATTACATATTTATTGATATGAATCATAGACACCTAATTGATAAAACAGATTTACTTGTTAAATGCATACTAAAACTAAATGATCAACCAAAAAAGCCAACAGCCTGGAGATTCAATAAAAACTGTACTAATAAAAAAGAAGGTTATAGAAGAAATCAAATCGATTAACTCAACCACAGAATGAGACTGGTAAAAAATATGTATCCAATTTATTATTAGGGCTTTTAGAAAACCCAAAGTGCTAGAAAACAAAATAGCCAATACAAACAAAAAAATAATCAAGCTTAAAGAATCACTGACAATCAATCCAAAGCAAACATATCTTTACACAACTATTAACAATCTTAATCTCCAAATCCAAGAGGATCTTTTACAACTAGTAGAGAGATGGCAAATTTGCTCAAAAGCTAGTTGGGTAGAACCAATTCTTCTGCACTCAAAGATATTGTAATTCATCTCAATTTGGAAATAGTTTAATAACCAACTAGTTGACAACTTTCCAACTAATCGATTTGAAAAATTTTTAAACAACTAAATTATTCAATTAATATAATTCTGAAATATTCCACTTATTCAGGGTAATTCGGAATGATCTCTTGGATTTGATTGGCTAATATCTGAAAATATCATGTGATATACGTAACCAGTTAGTTGCCAACTATAGAGCAACTAACCAGTTGGTAAAATTTTAACAATTTGGAACACTATCTGGGAATAATCAGATCCTACAGTACATCAAAGAACAATATCCAAAACTCTACAAAAAAAAGAAAATTGATCTAGAGGCAGCAAACACTTTAACAAACTCACTTCCTACTGTTTCACAGCTAGAAAACAATAAAAAAAGTCATTAGAAACCTCTCTAATAATAAATCACTAGGCATAGATAGCCTCATCTATAAATTTTATAAACAAACAGAAGAATACATCACACCAGTTCTGGTTACAATATTTAATCAGGTTCTTAATTCAGGCTCACTTCCCAAATCCTGGCTCAAAAATTTGATTACATTCATTCCAAAGAAATCAACAGATCTAAGTAGGGTTGAGAACTGGAGACCAATCTCTTTAGTAAACTGTAATGCCAAAATCTTTATAAAAAACATTGCTACTACATTAGCAAATTTAATAGGATATAATATTGCGCAATAATTTACAAAGTGTCAGAAAACCGTAATATTACGTAATAACTTTTGCAATATTACATAAGATTATTATGCAATATTACACAAGAAATTATGCAATTTTATGTAAAATAATTCAAAATAATTTGAAACAGATTGAGATAAATTAAAGTGAACTATAAACGTAAAATAATTCAAAATAATTCGAATTATATTAAAAATGTTTAAAATAATTAAAAATAATTGAAATTAAAGAGCTAAAATTTTAAATGACAATATTCAAGAATGAAACAAATTAAGATAAATTACTATGAACTATAAGTGCAAATAATTTGAAATAATTCAAATTATATTAAAAATGTTTGAAATAATTAAAATTAATTAAAATTAAAGAGCTAAAATTTAAACGACAATTTTCAAGAATAAAACAGATTAAAATAAAAGGATAATTTATACACTGCACTCCGCGATGTTGCCGCATTTCTGCAGATCATAAAATTAGGTGTAACGTGAAATCAAAACAACCTGTTTTTTTGTTAGCTAGAGTTAGAGTGAGGTAAGATTAGTGTTAGGGTTAATGTTAGAGTTAGAATATGAGTTTTTTTATAGTAAAATTTTGTAAGGAATTTTTTTTGTTAGAATGCAAAGAGTAGTTTCATATACAAAGTTTTGAGTTTTGACAAAACGAATGTTTTTTGAATTTTCTAATTGTGCTATGTTACACCTGATCTTAAAATTTGATTGGTCAATCATGTGAGAGGCGATAAATTAGTGACATCGTGGGGTGCGGTGAATAAATATATCCTAAAATAAATTACTATGAACTATAAGTGCAAATAATTCGAAATAATTTGAATTATATTAAAAATATTTGAAATAATTAAATATAATTAAAATTAAAGAGCTAAAATTTTTAAACGTCAATATTCAAGAATTAAATTATACTATCACTGGATTTTATTTATAAATAAAATATATGATTTGATTTAAAATAGATAATCTATTTCGAAATGATTGGAATAATTCAATAAAGCATTATTTAAATTAATAAAACAAAATCTATTTGTGAAATGAAAAAGCGAATAGGATTATTTAAAAAATTGAAATAATTCTAATAATTCTAATAAATAAAAATATCATATTAACTTGTAAAAATTTCAAAATATTTGATTATTTCAATATTTATAAATTTTAAAATGCTATTTATTACAGAAATATAAATTTAATCAAGGTTTTCAAATTATTTTACGAAAGTCTATTTCACATAAAATTATATTACTATATTTAGTAAAGAAAAATAATTTAAATAAATAAATTCAAATAAATTTATAAAAATCATAATTAGTGATATTAATTTCAAAAACTATCATCATTAAAAAAATTTCAAAATATAGTGAATTAATTTGAATATATTAGAATCATTTCAAAAATATATAAATCAACCCACTTTCACTTTTATCCTACTCATAGTTTTTCTGATCAATCTCATTGCCTCAATAATTCAAATCTTTTTGCTTAAACTCAGTTATATTTATTCTTTTCACTTATCTTTAATTTCATTATTTTTATTTCTATTTACACTTTATCCTTATATTTTCATTTATTTTACATTATTTCGAATAACTTTTACTAAAATGCACCTATAGTGTTTTTACACCATAGGCCCTATTTCTCAAAAACGTACTAAGTAAATGGGATCGGGTTCTCTAAGTAAAAATGTTTAGGACTCCCAAAAACTTTATGAGAACTGAAATCAGGCCCTATCGGGCCCTTATAGTAGCTCTATAATATATTATAAAAAAAAAAATAATTCTTAATTTTTTAACCCTAACCCTAAATTTTATTAAAAGAAATTATACATAGGTGCTAAACCACTATAGGTGCGTTTTAGAATAATTCATTTCGAATTATTTCATATATATATATATATTTTAATTCTTTGACAGTCTTGCTAGTGCTCAATTTATTTAAGACTATATTTAGGTGAAAGTTGAACTCTCTCGAACAATATATATCATTCATAACCATAAAAAGCGTCTAGCGATTGCGAGCCTGACATCACCCAGCTGCGATTAATGTGCCCAAATGCGACTTGTCGCACCAACCTGTATACAAGTTAGATAAACTTTGTCAGCCCATCAAAGCTTTTCCTTTCATATTCTCTTTCTTTACTGAAAGCAAAAGAAAGTAATAATCTTATATCCAATACAAAACCACTAATAATACCAAGAAAACAAAATGAAAAACTAACTAAAAATAAACAAATAAAACGAAAGGTGAATTTTAAAGGAAAAAATAAAAGAGATACAATGAAATATAAAAAAAGAAAATCAAAGAAAAAAGCCTGAGGGCCAACAAAAGAAAAAGAAAAATACACTATTATAACCCGCAACGTTTGTATATCTCAACTACAAAATCTAACAAATTATTATCTGACTACCGACTGCCTCCGGATACTTCTAGAGACCCGATCCCAGTCACGTGGAGGACCTGTATCAATAGACATGTCACATCACATATTCACCGATAAACAAGGC